GGTAAGGAACGAGATGCCGACAGTGTTGAAGTCGAAATCGTGGATGAAGGTTCGGACTGTGATCCGGGGGGAAAAGGCGGCAATAGTCAAGGCGGAAACGTCATTTCTTGTGGTGACGCAGAAGGAGATGTCAACAATACCGCGTGACGTGCGCTTATGTATGGTCGTATAAGCTGTGACATGTGGGCCGTCTTTGACACGTCATCTTTCTACAATGCTGTTGCATGTTCGGCCACTCACGTAACGAGTAATCTAGTCGCCCTGAGGTAGTTGTGTTGCTAACGCCTGCACCCGTTTCAGCAAATGACTTCGGACATTCCCTGTGGTGCCAGTGTGTCATTCGGTCTCTGTAATTGACGCCTTATATTTACTTCTCTGGTGCAGTGCTCGTTATATTTCTTCTCCGTCCTTAATTGTATGTCCGGGAGGAGGGCGTTGTTCTGTTCGTTAGATGTCGGTACCATAATCCGTTCGGTAATGACGAATGAATCAGATGGGCTCATCTAGCCGCACCTGAGGTAAAGAGATCCCAGTCGCCTGTAATACGGGACTGATGGTAGTAGGGTTATTTACATGTTGGGCCGGAGAACACATAGGCGACGACGTCAAGTAATTGTACGAAAAGAACTGCAATTGGAATGCGCGGTTGTGCTTTGAGTGGTTGAGAAATAGTTGCCCCAACCCCTAACACTAACCCCTATCTCAAACCTTCAATTCCAACCCTAACCCCTAACCGCAGCCCTAAATCATAAACCTGAAACATTCAACACGATAGTTAGGAGGACACGACAGGCCGAAATTCATGAATTATTACCTGCATTTGGGCTGAAGAAGGTAGGCACAGCAACAAAGAAACAAGGCCACCAACAGAACATATCTATCAGGTGAGGCTACATAAACACAGCGTACTGAGGAAGAACACACGCTGCATCATCTCGCCTGGATAGGCTCGTTTCACGAGGTGGTTATTGCAGTGCCTATCTGCCGAGGTTAGGAGAGGAGCATGGGATGGTAGTGAAGGACCGTGCCCATAAACCATCAGATGCGTTTGTTTCATGGAAGTATGTATCCGGTCCATGCTGCGTTGCATCTTCTGTTCCGAGGTGGTGTTCAGGGCGCTGTCGTCGGCGAAGAGAAATTCGTGAACGGTGGTTATGTATACGCGAGATTGGAAGTGCATCCGTCGTTGATTCCGGACGTGACCGTCCGTCCTGTAGGCGATGCCGAACCCGGGGCAATCGTCAGGGTAGGCGTCCATCAGCATGGCTGCGAACGTAAGACTGAAGAGGGTAGGCGCCAGCACGCATCCCTGCTTCGCTCCGTTGGTTACTGCGAATGCCTCTGAGACAGCTCCGTTGTCCGTGAATCGCCTATCATGCGGTCGTGCAGCTGATGTACCATCTGAATGAGACGCTCGGGACAGCCGAATTTCTGCATGATCTTCCACAGTCCTTCACGATTCATCGTGTCGAAGGCTTTCGTCAGGTCTACGAACGTGGAGTATAGGTGGGTCCGCATCTCTTGACACTTCTCCTGAAGTTGACGGGCGGCGAAGATCATGTCCGTGGTCCCACGAAGTCGGCGGAATCCGCACTGGCTTTCCGGCAGAAGGCCCTGTTCGATATGTTTATTTAGACGGTTGAGGAGGATTCGAGCGAAGATCTTCCCGGCGATGTTCAGCAAGGAGATGCCGCCGTGGTTGTCGCAGACTTGGCGGTTCCCTTTTCGTTTGTATAGGTGCACAATTGTTGTGTCCTTGAAACCTTCCGAGACTTCACCTTGACGCCACATCTCCTGGAAGAGCGCAGTCAGGTCATCCATCAGTTGGGAACCACCGTGCTTGTAGACCTCAGCAGGGATTGCGTCCGATCCGGGTGCCATCCCGCTGGAGAGCTGCTGCACGGCCCTGATGGTTTGCTGGAGAGATGGCGGGAGGTCGAGGTCCACGTTGGTCTCCACTTTCGCCAAACGCTCTATGGCGGCGTCGGAGATGGCGGAGGGGCTGTTGAGGACGCCTCGGAAATGCTCGGCCCATCGCTGTAGAATTTGTGTCTTCTCAGCCAGGAGGGTGCTACCGTCGGCGCTGAGGAGACGGGCAGTGACCTTCGTCGGCGGACCGTAGACAACTTTGATAGCGGAGAAGGAGTTCTTCCACTCGTTGCGGTCCGCGTAGTCTTGGATCTCCTCAGCATTGCGAGCAGTCCAGGCGTCCTGACTCTCGCGCAGTCGTTGCTGAAGGTGGCGGCGACTGCGGTAAAAAGCGTCTTTGTTGTCCTCCGTGGGGTGATCTACGTAGGCTTTGTCTAGGCGGTTCTTATCAGCTGATGACGGCGTCGTTGTCATCGAACCAGTCCTGGTGATGGCGGCGTGCGCGGCCAAGGACGGCTAGCGCCGTCTTCTTGACCATGTCTCTCAGTTGACAGCATCGGTTCTCCATGGAGGCTTTCTTGGCAGTGGCGGCGGCGTCGTCGGCGGCAGCGATAGGATGGTTGTCTAGCCGTTGAGCTAGCTCATTGCTGAAATGAGGATGGTGAGCGGTCAAAGACAACAAGGCAATATTCAGCTTACCTGGGGGTTGCTTACCTTGTGGTCTCCTGCGAGGCTGTAGGCGAATACGCATCTTCGAGATGATGAGGCGATGGTCGGTCCACCCGTCAGCACCCGCGATCGCCTTTGTCACCAGCACGTCCCGCTGATCTTGTCTCCGGACAAGGAGATAGTCCAGCAGGTGCCACTGACGCGACCGAGGATGCCCCCAGGTGGCCTTCACTCGTTCCGGCAGACAGAAGAACGTGTTCGTCAGGATGAGGCGGTGTTGTGCGCAGGTGCGGAGCAGCAGCAGTCTGTTGTCGTTGAAGCCGCGAAGACCGTGGGGACTCAGCACTCCTCTCCGGGCAGTGCGTTCTGTGCTGAGCGGGCGTAGAAGTCACCAAGGACAATCAACTTGTCCGCCTTCGACACAGTCGCCAAGAGGGCGTGCAGGTCCCCGTAGAATTTGTCTCTGGCGGCGGCCTCGGGACTGGTCATCGGCGGAGCGTAGGCACTGATGATGGTGTCGAATTGGCCCCCTACACGCCGGAGAGGCAGACGGAGGCTCATGAGGCGATCGTTGATGTCCTGCGGCAAACAGGGTAGTCGTCCCACGATGTCGTTCCGAATGGCGAAGGCGACACCCGCGTCTCGTCGCTCTGCCCTGGGCCGACCGCTCCAGACGAAGGTGTAACCGGCATCCACCTCTCCATTTGGCCTTCTTCGGAGAATCGGGTTCCGCTGAGTGCGGCGATGTCCACGCTGTAGGGCGCCAGTACGCGGGCCGCTAGCGCCGTCCTCCGTTCCGGTCGGTTGCTCCTCGTATTGTCTAAAAGGGAAAGAACATTCCAGGCTGCCAGAGTGAGCGGGCTTACCCTGCCAGTCTGGTGACAACGAGTGGGGCGACGGGAAGGAGGTGGAGAAGATGGCGAAGGAGAAGAATAGGTAGAAACATAGGCAGAGGAAGAGGAAGAAGAGGTAGGATGAGGGAATGAGTATGGTTGTTGTTGTTGTTGTTGTTCGATCGTCGATTTTGACTATGTCTACCGTGTGCCCCACAGACTGCTTTGTGGAGCAGGGACGGTGGCCTACGCAGGGGTTTATAGTGCCAGTAGACTTGCGTAGCATCTACCTACACTCTCACTTCCACCCCCGCCTGAGCCCGCTGTCAAGAGCAAGTCAAGAAAACCGGAGATGGGGGAAACCGCAGGTGGATGGCTTGGACGGATCCTCGCCTTGTCGCTCCACTCCGCACCGCCTGGTCCACACACAAATAACCAGCACTTCAACCAACACAAGAGAGATATGGAGGCTGGCACGACCGAAGCCGCACCTAGGCGTGCCGCCAACGCCTGGCTCGGAGCCTACACTGTGATGGGAGTGCCACAAAGGCCACATTAAGAAGGAGCCATTGTAGCCTGAATCTCAAACCGCCTCCAATCAAGAAGGAGGTCCAAGTTACCCCATCAGTTGGCAACCTTCTAAGCCACGGCTTTTAGCGCACCGTGATAGCTTCAAGCGCGTCAGATTGTTTATAGTGAGTAGTCGACCTCACTCTCCCTTTCCACTCCCACACCCCAGCCGCTGTCCGAGCCGGTCAGCAGACTGGAGTGGGAAATGGGCGCGGTGGCCGTCATGGCCGACTGACCATGCCTGCGTGCGCCACAGCACGACCTGGCCCCCCATACACACAACACCAGGATTTCACACAACGGGGCTTGAACGGCGTGTCTCTCACTTGCGTGAGAGGGCCGTGGCAGGTGCTGTTTCAGTCCGTCCCAGCCCACAATTCCGCTACTAGACACAAAACACACACAACGCGACGAACTGCGTGAACGGAGTGGGGGCGTCAATCCACAACCTTCCTGTCCACGACGCTTGACGTGTCGGGATAGTCTCGGACTCAGTCACCCGTGCAGCCGAAGCCGCATTGGGAACGAGTCGAGATGCATATTTCCAGCTTGCGTGGGAGGTGGCGGTTGGGTGCATGAGGTGTGTGAGTGTTGATGTCTGGTGGGGTGGTGGTGATGGTGGGAGGTAGGGTGTGACTGAATGTGTGGTATGGCCGGCGGTTGTCTACCGCAAGTCGTCGTGGATGCGTATGTGGCCGAATAGGCCCAAGCGATGGCTGAACGTGCAAGGGCAGTGTGGGCAGTTGAGACGAGCTTGGTGGGTATAGGTTGGTGCTCCAGTCACTGGTTCGCCACTCTCTGTGCGATGGATTCGCAAGTGACCGACCAAGCCGATGCGTCAGGTGAATGTGCGTTTACAGTGTGCGCATGAGAAGTTGGCGGTGTCAGTGTCAACTACAGAGGTGGTGGTGGTGGTG